TTAAGAATGATTATTTTCAGAGCTGTAAATAAAAGATTACTGGAGTACGTTTTACAAGAAAATACCATCTTTCTACTTCAAAATTTCATGTTTAATAGAATGTTCTAATTGTCTATTTATATATTTATTTATTGCAATTGTTTGGGAAATGTATTAGCAATTTCCTACAGCATTTTGGGAATATCGTGAAATCATGAATAGGGTCAGTTACACTGAAAAAAATTACTTGAATTAAATTAAATTTATAAGTATTTGAAGCATTTACCAGCAATTTCTGAGTGAAAATTGAGTGAAAAAATACCACACACAAAAACAGTTAGCACATTTAATTACACATACGTAGTAAAAAGACTATGTTAGTATTTTCTTAAACATTGTACTTCAATAATACTTGTTATAGTAAATACTGTTTAGTGTTCTTTATGCAAAAAAGGCAATTTCAGAATGCGGTTTTTGACCATTAAAACCAAAAACAAGAAATTAAAACCATTAAAAAATGTTTGTTACTTGAAATAAAATATTTCAGCTATATAATTACTATAGCTATACAAATTACTAAAATTAAAAAGAAAACAGAAAAATTATATACAAAAATCTGTTTCAATAATAACTGTAATACTATCAAAATGATACTAAAATAACACTGTGAAGTATTCCCGAGAACCTTCTAACAAAAAGCTCTGGAAACATCCAGCATACAGTTTCTCTTACTATACTATAACTATATAGGTTATACTCATACAGTATAACCTTCTTAATACCCATCTGCCGAAAATCTGCAACAATGATCTCTCCCTCCCGTCGCTCTACTCTGAGGGGTTGGCATGTTGTTTTGTTCGGCTTGCACATTGCGTACAATTCTGATGCAACCCGCTGTAAACGCTCAAATTCTTTCACTCTGTGCGTGCGTGCGTGTGTGTGTGTGTGTGTCTGCGTCTGTTGTCTTGTTGTGTGTCGTGTGCCTCTCTGTCTGTTTCCAGAGCTCACACTGCACTGACAAGCAGCAGATCACTAAGTGAAACAAAACACTGTTTAATAATTCAGACAACCCCCTCCCTCTCTCTGTCTCTCTCTCTCTCTCACTCACTCACTCACTCTCTCTCACACACACACACACACACACACACACACACACACACACACACAAATCCCTTTAAGTCTCCATGCGTTTGGATCTCTCTGACGGGAAACTGCTCTTTTTGTCTTGTCTTGTCTTGTCTTTTATCCGCTCACACACTCTCGGATGAAACCAGAAACGGGGCAGAAGAGCTATTGGGAGTGTGTGTGTCCATCTACAGTCTGTTCTTCCCTCAATTTTAGTTACCAGGTCATTGAATTCCAGTTTAAAGCTTCTCCGAGAATCCCAACATGGGCTTTTTTTTTGCCTAATAGGCTCCTATTTGAACGTAATCATCATTTGGCTTGACATGGATCCCTATAATCTAGATCCGAATGTCCAGCTTCCCGTTATGAGGAAGATGAAGGCATTTTCCCTCCAGTAGCTCTACACAGGATTGCAGTTTTCCTCTCAATGCGCTGATTGTTTTCCGAAATATAATTGCTGTTATCATATGACTCTGCACATGCATAATACGAGTGCTATGAAATATTCATGAGCTTATAGTGTGCGCCGGCCAAAGCTGCATGGGGTACTCTGGAGGATGCTGGGTAATGGGGCAGAGGAGCGTAATCAGGTTGCGTTACACAACCAGGTTTCATGGGCGACCGCAGACAATATCAAAGGGAAGGAGGTTGAAGTGTGTGGGAATGTGTGTGTCGTCGGACAGGTGGAGCTGTCAGGTGTGTTTGATTAATGAAGGGCTGGAGGTGTTTAAGCATTCGTATTGGGCATGCACCGTTGTTTTTGCTTTTGGTCCACAAAAAATTTCCCACAATTCCATAGGACCAATCAGCACGACTTTTTTCCTCACTCAACTTTTCGCTCAAAACTAGCTGAGACTAACCTCGACATCTGTCCAAACATGTCTGAAATTATTTAAAACAACAAACCCTGCCGTACTTTTTATTATTCGAGCAACAACGGTCGTTTTTTTGAACCAGGGCAAATTCATTATAGGGTTTCTTCTCACTTTTCCCCTCTGCCTACATTTGTTATCCTTGTAATCACTTTTGCCAAAACATTCACCCTTTTAATTAAATTCATAAGTCGACACAGCTTTATCTCTCTCAGCGGTCGGGTCGGAAACCAGATTACTCTGCTGTCACAGATTTCTCTTGCTCTTTTCCGGACACTGAATAAAAAAGCTTTTAAAATCGTTAAGGCACTTAAAGACTTGAAATTGCATGAAAACAAACTACAAAGGGAGAAAAGATGTGAGAGATGTGGCCAAAGGAAAGGTTTTTAGTCTGTTAATTTTGTTTGGTTTATAATAAATGTAGTTATATAGTTTTAATAATTAAAAATAAGTGATTTTTCTAATTCATTTTCAGTTATTTTCAAATGTCTTGAAACATGAATAGTAATTAAAAGAAACAAATATATAGTTATAGTAATATAGTAAGTATTTTATATAAATTATGTAGAATAATATATTTTTTAATGGAAGAAAGGAAATATTTTTGGTCTACTAATTTTACTTTTTAGTATTTTTGATAACTGAAAATGTGTGTTTTTCATTATTTTTAGTGATTTTCAAATGTCTGAAACATGAGTAATTAATAATAGTAAGAATTCAATTAAATGAAATGTAATATAATATCATATAATATAATATATGCTGTATGGGGTTTATAATGGTTTATAATAACTTTAGTCTTTAGTTACAGAAGTTATTTTCATTATTTTCTTGAAAACATGTCCTGAAACATGAATAATAGAATTATAAAAATATGTATTTATATTTTTTAAATGGAAGAAAGGGAATATTTTTGGTCTACCAATTTTGTTTGGTTTATAACAGTAATTTTCATTATTTTCAAATGTCTTGAATATCAATTAATTAATAACAATTATAATATAATATAACAATGTACTGTATGTACTTGAAACATGAATATATATATATATATATATATAAATTGAATTGACGTTACACAGATATTATTGCTATTGTTATTCATTCATTTTTTATTAATCATTCATTTTAGTATTTACTGGAACTGAAGTACTGTGTTTGTGTCATTCATACTCTGTTTATAGCATTGCAGCTAGTGGAAGGGCTAACCAAAAATGCTGACATTTGAATCTTGAACAGTAAATAATAACAACAACTATTATTATTATTATTATTATTAACCACACCAATTAATAACCACATTTAATATGAATGTGCGACTTAATGTTATATGTAAACATTATATAAATATATCCACGTTTTATATTATTATTATTATTATTATTATTGACACCAATTAATAACCATATATAATATGCATGTATGACCTAATGCTATTAGTAAACATTACATAAATATATCCAAGATCATCATCATCATCATCATCATCATCCTCATCATCGTCATTATTATTATTATTATTATCATCAATAGTGATATTATTAATAACTAAACTGTTGATGTGGTAGTCAAAACTACATTCAATTTTTTATTATTATTTTAATGTGTTTTTTTACATTTAACATTACAAATAACTGAATAATTGTTAATAAAGAGTTATAATGAATTTATAAGTAAAAATACGATATTTGGGGTTTAAAACATGCAATCATAATTTCAAAGAGTAGGGTGAATTCAGGTTAATTTGACACATTTTCCAAGTCATTTCAATTACAAAAAGTGTCCCAATCGTTTAATTTAGTAAACCATCCGATGCACACAATAATAAAATATAGTTAGCCTATATAGTTACATTATCTTAAACTGACTGTCAAAGTGCAAAATTGCTACAAACGTAACATCAATGCAAGAACAAAATGTATGCAACTTAAACTGGATACGGAGGAGTCGTAAAATAAGCAGGTTAAACTCACAACACATGCAGTATTTACTGACTGTGAATGGAGCCGCTCTGAGACGTCAATCATCAGCTGCACGCGTGAACACTGTGCTTTGCGTGGAATCTCACTGCAACCATCCTTTGCCAAATGATAAGCACACTACTACATCGCGATTTTATTTTCTGTTCGATTGGTGTTCATTACAAAACTGTGGGGGGACAGATTATATTATGATGGTTCATCATTGCAAAATAGACATTTGATAGAGTGCAATAAAGCACGAAAATTAATCAGTTTAAAAAGGCTATTATTCACCCTCCCGTATGTGCATTAAGTCTTCGGTGTAGACCGCATTTTAATCTTTGATTTGCATAAGTTACAGTTGATTCATGTGAAATATCCACTCCTGTACATCCTCTGCAAAATCATCGATCTTTTGTCAGTGGACAGACTGTAAAGCCGCGAGATGCATGATATCACAACAGATGGCGGTAATGAACACATTTAATTTGTGATCTAGTCAGAAGACGCTGCGCTGCTTCAATGCATTAAACACAAAACAGAATGTAGCATCTGGTCGCGCTACACCGCTACTTGTTGGAAAAAGTAGTTAGCTACTGGAAAAAGCTACACTGTTTTAAAAGTAGCGGAGCTACTGTCACGCTACTGAAAAATTTAGTTATGTTAGTAGCGCCCCAAGACTGATTTTTGAAGATCTTCACGCAGCTGTTTTCCATATATCAATGGTTCATAGTTACCACAACCTTTAAATGACACCAAAAAGCACCATAAAAGTAGCCTATATGACATGTGCGCTTCATTCCATTCCATCTAAAACCATATGATAGCTCTGTGTGAGGAACAGGGTGAAATGGAAGTGAAATGTAATTATGCATTGATGGTCTTGCATCAACTGTCGTACAAGCTTACCTGCTCAAGATTCTTCAAAATGTCTAATTTTGTGTTCCAGAGAAGAAAGTCAGATGGGTTTGTAACAACATACCTGTATAAGAGTGAGTAATATTTTCTCCCTGCTTCGAAATCACACTTTCAACATGTCCTTTCTTGTTTGTGATGTTTGTAGGAGCGTATTATCGAGCGTCTGAAGGAACAGAGGGATAGAGACGAGAGAGAGAAGAGCGAAGAACTGGAGAGCAACAAGAAAGAGCTCAAAGAGCTGAAAGAGAAAGTCAGCTTACTGCAGGGAGAGCTGTCTGATCGCGAGGTGAGAACTTGATTTTGCATAAAGTAATGAACAAACCAATGCTTTATTAAAGCCAGTATTGTATGAAGTTGATGATTTTCACAATCTTCAGTGTTTTTGATTTATGTTTTAGGAGTGAGTCAAACCATATTTAGAGACCAAAATCTTGTGTACAGTATCATTTACATTGTTGATGACCATTACAGGAGTAGTTGTGCCAAAATGAGAATTTGCTGAAATTTACTCACCCTCAGGCCATCCATGATGTAGATGAGTTGTTTCTGCATCTGAAAAATTTTTGTGAAATTTATCATTACATCACTTGCTCACCAATGGATCCTCTGCAGTGAATGGGTGCCGTCAGAATGAGAGTCGATACAGCTGATAAAAACATCACAATAATCCACAAGTAATCCACATGAATCCAGAAACAGGTTGAAGTTAAACCATCTTAATGATGGATTTGTTTCTTACAAACACAGCTTTTTGCTTCACAAGACATTAATTTATGGACTAAAGTCGTGTGGATTACTTTTGGGTTATTGTTATGTTTTTATCAGCTGTTTGGACTCTCATTCTGACGGCACCCATTCACTGCAGAGTATGTTCAATTTCTCCAAATCTGTTCAACTGAAGAAACAAACTCATCTCTATCTTGAATGTTCTGAGGGTGAGTACATTTTAAGCTAACTTTCATTTTTGTGTGAACGATTCCTTTAAACTGCTATATCATCTTGCAAGCATTCGCTCAGATTTGTGTAATCTGTTTGCATATTTGTGAACAGAAGTTTGGGTTTGCGGTGTAAATATTGCAGTCATGAATTGTGGCCTGTACACCCAACTAAAATCCACAACTAATCCTAACACTCCTAAACTAAATCTCTGCTATCAGGAGAACTGTAACTAAATGCTAAATTATTATTTTATGAATCAGCTTGATGTTTCTGTGAAAATCTTTGCACATATTTGCAAAAGATTAGCCTGGATTGTTTCTGTATGATTGTATGATTATATCTTGCATTTGTGAAAGCAAGTCAAGTTACAGGTTTTTGTACTGAACAGACGTTCAGCTGACTAGCAAATAGCTCAGAGGTGGGCGTCCAGCCGACATCTTGTGCAATTTTGCGTTCATATTGTTAGTTCAGATGGCGGTTTCGCATTTATAATGCAGTAATCCTCTATAATGTGTCAGGTGTGGATTAAAGAGGTTGAAGCGGATCCCAGGCAGCATTAGGAGTGTCTTCCTTAGATTGCACTATTGGACGAGGTGCTCAGGCTTGATAGAGACAGACTGATTTTGCAGCCGTCCACACAACCCCAGAGGAGCTGTAGTGATGAGAACAGACATGCTGGACCCGCAACACTGTCAGTCCTGCGTGTGTGTGTGTGTGTGTAGGACAAGAAGATAAATGGCGGATTCTAAATGTGAGGGAACGGGCCGTCCCAGAGAGCAACTGCTCATTTCTCTTTCTGTCTTCAACACTGCACTGTTGTTCACTTTTTTTTTGTCTTTTCTTCTTTTTTTTGCCATCTATACTTTCGCACTTTCTTGTATTTTGTCTAGCATTTCTCCAATAGCCTTTACGTCAGTATAAACAGAATAGTTGACCCTATAAATGAAAGTTTGGTCATCGTTTACTTACCCTCATGTCAATCCAAACCTTTTTTATTTTATTTTTTTATTGTATTTTATTTTATTTTATTTTATTTAATTTTCAGTCTTGGTATCAATCAAACCAGTTTTGAGAACTGAATCATTGAATTGATTTTTAATGAAAATTATTTCAATATTCAACTCACTGACTAAATGATCCAGTTGTAATGAATAACAGCTCACTGTAGTCGGAATAACGATTTCAGTTTTGACCTTACGCGGCTTCTGAAGATTTGGAATATAGTGCACAGGTCATATGAACTACTTCAGAACTTTTATGGTTCTTTCATGGTGCTTTTTATGGTTTTGGTCCTTTTTTTGTAAGGTTTTGGTCTTTTTTGAAGCTTGAAAGCTTCAGTCCCCATTCATTGTAAGTGCATGGAAAAAGTGACCAGTACAATATTCAGAAATCCTCCATCTGCGTTCCGTGGAAGTACAACAGTAATACGGCTCTGGAACGACATGAGGGTGAGTAAATGATGACCGAATGTTCATTTTTGGTTGAACTATCCCTGTAATGACTGCGTTTGCTTTCCCACAGCACTGTGTCTGTGGCTGTTTTATTATTCAGGTTATTCTTGTTTGCTGTGATCTCCACATTCCTCTCCGCTGTCTGCCTCTAGAACATGGGCGATGCACATCCCCACCACTAAACCCCTTCCTGTCTCTCAACCCCTTACAGTAGTTAGTTCCTCTCATCTGTATCTTTCTCTTTCCCTTTCCATTTCCGCTTGCCAATAGAAATTCCATATTGTGGGTGAATCTTCTGAAATCACGCTTTACACCAAAATTGTAGAGAAAAAAAAGAAATGATATTTTGCATAAATAAAATGAAACCTATTTAGAGGATTAAAATAATGACGCAATGCAAAACAACGTTTAAATATTAAATCTTCAATACTCTCTTTGATTCTAATTAGTGTTTTTATTATTTTTTAAACTGTATTACTAACAGTTACTGTAATACAACAACATATCCAGTACCATTCAAAAGTTTGAGGTCAGTAAGTTTTTGATTATGATTTATTTTTGGTGTATTTTTTTAATATAAATGTATACTTTTATTCAGAAAGGACACATCACATTGCTCAAAAGTCACTTTTATATTGCTACAAAAATCTATTTCAAATAAATGCTATTCTTTAAACAAACTGCTGGTCATGAAAGTAGGCTTAACTTTATTGTAGTAAAATATAATTTTAAATTAATTTCTGTTAAATTTGGGGTTAAATGTGCCCCTGTGCCCCAGACATCCTAACAGGTTTTGTGAGATCCACCAATGTCCATTCTCCGCACGTGAAGCTCAGAGTGTCAGTGTCCTGGATATTTGTGTTGGATCACAGCTGCTGTCCTGAGCTGCATGCGGCAGCCTCCCATCGCTCAGCCTCCTGTTATTTCCCTCTCCTTGTTTTTCCTGCATTGTGTTGTTGGTGAACAGTGACCTCTTCGCTCCCAGCTCTTTCGGCCTCCCCTCCAGTGCTCTAATCATAAAGTGTGGAGTCCAGCACATCCCATCATTCCCCTCTCCTGTTTTCTTTACCAACGCGAGAGAACGCGGGGCGGCAGTATGAACATTAAGTGTGTATTTTGGTCCACGGACTCCAGTCGAGTGTGAAATTGTGGGGCTCTCCGGCTGAAAGCAGAAACGGCTGGAAGGGCCTCATGGATGGAGGGCTGCAGTTTTAACAGCGTGTCTGAGACTCTGCTTAAAAAAACAGAGAGCTGATGTACTGCATATGTGCAGAGGCCCTGTACATTATAGCACACGATATTTGTGATATTACTATTGAGATGTAACAGCTACTGTAACTCTAAATCGTTCTCCTGTTTCATGTTTTATCACATTATTCCTCATAAAAGCCTGTGTGCTGTTAAAGGAACAGTTCACCAAGGACTGGAGCTTTCCTCCGTCAAAAGGATTCAAAGGGAACCGTAATAGTATCGTAAAGCGGTCCATATAACTTATAGCGCTATATTCAAAGGCTTCTGAATCCATATGATTGCTTTGGGTGAGAAATAGACCAAAATTCAAGTTACTATTTTACCTTCCAGTAAGTGAGTCAGTGAGCAGAAATTAAACTGGATCATCGGGTTTATGAATTAATCATTTAGAATTCAATCAAATGATTCATTGAAAATATTTGACTCTAAAAAATTATTCATTCATGAATCAAGCAACATTACTTGCTGTAATGAACTCTTTATGAACTCATAATGGCAGATGTAAGATTTTCAGTGAATAACAAGGAACTTTTTGGTTTGTTTGTTGTCTGTATTCAATGATTGAGATTCAGAATGTGTATGAGACAAATGAGCCCCTTTTTTGGTGCGTTTCCATTTTTTTATAAACTAGAAAACTCCAATCTCAATTCAATACACGGTTACACCAAAGAAAAAGACACATAAAGGTTTGAAATGACTTGAGGGTAAGTAAATTAGTTTTTAGATTTGAGTGAACTGTCTCTTTAAATGTTTTTGTTTCCGAAACCAGATCCAGTTTATTTGATCTGACTGAATTAAATCATTTTGATTGCGTGTTTGTATACAAATGTGCGTTTTGAAAAGAAAAAAAACCTGTCACATGGCAATTTGTCTTGGCTCTTCGTGCTTCCTGATGTTGAAATTGGCTCGAAACTGGCTGGCTGTGGTTCCAATCCGCATATTTACATGTGTTTGTGCTCAGGTTGTTTCAGTGCAATCAGGGACTGTGGCATGACGTTAACAAAGTCTCCTCCTGCTTCTCATTAGCTTTTTCTCCCCCCCGCCTGAACCTGATCGTCTACATTCAGAGGTAGATTGTTCAATAAGTGCTCTCTGATTTAACCTTCATTTCCCTTGCCCTCAGGCCTCTCTATTGGACCTGAAGGAGCATGCCTCTTCCCTGGCCTCCTCTGGACTGAAGAAGGACTCCAAGCTGAAGAGTCTCGAAATCGCTCTTGAGCAGAAAAGAGAGGAATGCACCAAATTTGAGAGTCAACTCAAGAAGGTGAGCCAGACAATTGGAGGGAATTGAAGCATCACAGCTAGCAAACACACAGTCTCGTCGTCAGCTAAGCAACCGAGAACGCCTAACAAGCCATTAGGGTGACTGGCACGCCGTTAGCGCTACATTGACAACACTTAATACAGTGAAAGCGAGCTGAATGTTCGCTCAAGTGCACTTTACCTGTGGAGTTTTTCCTCTGTCGACTGCTATAGAGGGAAGATATTAGCTCTGTTCCAGACCTGAGCGAGACTGTGGTCAACATAGGCTGCTGCCTTCAATGACAGCATCCTAAATTAATCAGAATCTTATACTTGACTCATTTGAAACACTTCAACATCACAATTATGTTAACAGGCAATGAAATGCAAGTGTGAAAAGATACTCAACAAACATTCATTCCAATAGAGTCTGATCAGAAGACTTTAGATATATAAAGAGGGTGCACTTACATACTTAGGAATGGGAGAAAGAGCAAATGCAGAATATAGCGGAATAAATCTTCTAAATAAAAGGCATGCACTTTTTAATGCCATCTGAGCATAAGAAACATTTATGGGGCCGTCATGTCAGATTTTATTGCTGATTTGAAATATGTAACATAATTATGAGTGTTGCAAGAAGATTTTGAGATTTCAGGATTTGGTTTATTTAAATAGATATGTTACAAATGTTGCCCAGCTAGACTGCTCTCTTGGAACAGGCTTTGGAACAGAGCTATTTAATGAATTTCATATCTTATGGCTCCTGCACACTACAGAGATCTCTGATAGGGCTGGTTGGAACACATAAGATTTGATTTAAGGTTGAGGAAACTTTTTTCCAAAATAAATTCTAGCGTGCAGGTGCGCTTACGCCTCACTTCTGTGACTCGTGTCTTGGAACCTGCTATGTATGTTCCCAATTAGGGCTGCACGATATTGGAAAAAACTGATGTTGTGATATTTAGTTCTCCTGTGATTTATTATTACAATATGAAAAATACAGTTGTTTTTTTTTAAACTGTTGACTAAAAATTTTATATATATATATATATATATATACACACACACTGTGTAGGTATGTGTGTATGTATATATATATATATATATATATATATATATATATATATATATATATATATATGAAAAATACATTTATATTTATTAATTGTCATTATTACAGTACAAAAATAATGTCAAAACAACAGTGTTGTAATGTAAAAAATATTAAATTAAATTAAATAAATTACAATATTACTATTAACTATTAATTACAATATCAATGCATTTTGGCACATTGTCAGCAAATAAGTGTTCACACTGTTTGTTTTTGAGTGAAGCATGGCACTGTTCATGTTTTCCGCTCATGATAGTGCTTTTCAGAGTGGCTTGATTCACAGTAAATGAACTAAGCTGCTTTGAGATGCTAAAAAACATTATGAGCTGCATGCATGTACTGTAAATGAACAGTGCCATGCTTCAGCCATAAACAATATCAGTTTTATTTCGATATATTGAGCATATCGTATTCCCAATCATCTCAAGTCTCTTCTTTTTGTAGTTCATGCTACTTCAAACCACTACAAGTGATGTTCTGACACCGCTTGATACTCCAACCATGTCTGTGACTTCTCTCCTCTTCGCCATCTGTTTTCACACTCTTCTAATTCTGTCTTTTCTCTTGTCTTCTTTCCTCATCCTGCCTCATCGTCTCTTGATTTTTAACCAGATCAAATGTTTCTCACTTTTTGCTTAAAAAATATTTCGTCATCACTCTCTGTGTGTATCACCCAATTCTGTTTTCTTCCCCAACCCCTCTGTGTTTTTCTTTTCTTTCTTTCTGAAAGCGCTCTGAGCTCATGTCAGGCCATCCCTTCAATCTTGTAAGTGCATCTCGGTGTGAAAAGCCTCCCTTAGCAGTGCCAGCATATGTGTGTGTACGTGTGTGTGTGTGTGTGTGTGTGTGTGTGTGTGTGTGTGTGTGTGTGTGTGAGCGTGTG